TCTTTGCTTCAGCATGCTTTCATGAACTAGTGACTTGACTCTACTCTGTTTAATGCCTGTCTACTAGTTCTGGTATGCCCTTGTGGGGATATTGCCCAAGTTATTTTAATATTATGCTCGGCCATGTTTAGTGTAAAATCCTATGACCTACTGTCTCCCACTCCCATGAATCCCCTAGGCATCTCTGGTTCTGTAACTGTGTTCTAATTAACACTCCTGAATCTATGTCATACTACATGCACTAAGGGCAAATGACTTCTTCCTGTTATGTGTTCATCATGCCTGCCTACTTGTCCCCAAACCCCAATTGACCCCGTATGGAGACTTGTTCCCTGGGTGTTTGCTGAAGTTGCTTGACTGACCTGCTATTTGTTCAGTTACATGACTATTCTCAAAAGCTATTTTACTAAACAACCCTCTTATTATAAAACTATTTCAAGCAAATCTCTTTAACACTATTTTCCCACTAAAACCTTTCAAACTGTGTCAGACACTCTCACTCTACTCCTAAGTCGTTATGTTCTGCCCCCTCCAGTGTGTGTACTGCCTTGGGATCCTCTTAAGAACCCTCTGAACTCTGGCACAATGAGGCTGGCCCTTCCACACTATAGTTACTCAGTTTGGTTACCATGTCTAGGTGTGAGCACTGCCCAAAATCCTTAGGGAACTCTGACGCACCTAGACAATGACACTGTTTATGGAATTTGGGCATTTGAGGCTGTTGGAGGCTTTGGAATTTGGGCCTATTTGTAGGCTCCCTATAGAATAACTTCTTATTTTTTTTATCTACTTATGTAATTCATTCATATGGTCTATAATAATAAGTAAACGAATATTGGGGTAACTAGTGGAATGGGGTGGGTAATTATATATTTGTAGGGATAATACGGGTAGAAACCATGCCTATAGGACTTTATATTGTTGCTATGATTGCCTTACCATGTTAGAAATCATGCCTATAGGTCTCAAGTGGTTCCATAATAGAAATCATATTTATAGGTCTTAAAATCAACTTCACAAGTAGATGCCATGCCTATAGGATATAATCCAATCCAACTTTTTTTATAATGGATATTTACATGTGTTTTCATTTGCTATCATGCCTGCAAGCTTCTAAAACCAGTTTCTAAACAATTAGATATCATGCCTATAGGGAACAACACCAGAAATTCTGCCTATATATTTAAAACAGTTTAGTTTAAATAAAACAATCCAGTCCACGATTAGTTCACTTCGAAATTAGTTTAATTAATGATTTATTTTCCCTGAAACGAGTTCTTTCAAAAACTGCCTTAATCTATCATTAGACAACATGCCTATAGGGATTCAAGAGTCTGTTTTAAAATCTGCCCTATTGTCACTATATAAACGTAGTTATCAGTATTCCGCATGTAGGCAAGCCTATAGGGCATTTTCAAATCCTGTAACTCTGAAACTGTTTTTGTTACTTAATGTCTTTCTAATTTTAACAGGCTTTAAAAAATCAGTAGGCAAACTGATAGGGCCAATACTTCTGTGTTTTTAAAATAAACTGCCTATCTTCTATGTCTTGATATTCATTTAGATATCATGCCTTAGGATACTGTTTAACAAAAGTCCCTTATTTGTGTTTGAGTCGTGCTGCTTATGTGTGTTGTTTGAGGAGGTAAACTTGAGCCTCTAATTGCTCCTTTTTTGTCTTATGTGCTGAGGTCCTAATTGTTCTTACCTGTCGCCTTAGTATTTTCACCTTTAAACCTTAGGGGTCTGTCTAGAACTACCTATAGGTAGAGGTCCTAAGTTTCCTCCAGGACCATTAAGAAGGGACAAGTAACAGCACGCAATAGAGATCGCTGACCAACACTCGCTTTAATGAACACTAAGGGGATGAGAAGGGTAGATATGGGATATGATGACTACGCGCTAGTGTCACATGTAGCCCCTCATTGAGGAGTGTTTTGTGTGCGGTGATCCTATAGGCTAACAAACCTAGGACTCCCCCTTCTCCCAAAATTCCTTTTGTTTAAACTTTGTTTCATCCGTATACAACTTGTTCAAAATATTTGCCTTGTCATTTGAGTTATAGAAACATGGTTTACTTGTAATTATTTGCTTCAAGTATTTATTTGTTAATGGACTAATTCGTAAATATAAGTTCGGCCGGGACCCCACAGTTGTGGACCAAGAGGGGTGCCTAACACCTTCCCCTCGAGGTCATTTCGAGCCCTTACCCTAATCTCTGGTATTGCAAACCAATCCAAGAGTTAATCGCTCTAGGTGACCTAACGCACCATAACCCGTTAGGTGGCGACTCTTCAAATACCCAATTCCCAAAAGGAAATGAGTTATTACCCCCCATGAATGTCGAAACTCAGACCTCTCTCTGCGGAGGGAAAAATGGGGGCGCGACACCCACGCTCGTCATCTAGCGTGTGCGTCACCTCAGAGTAGCACAACGATGTATAATCCGGGGTTTCATACCCTTAGGACAAACATTTACAATCATTACTTACCTCAATTCGGTCCAAACTCTAGCCCGTGATTCCCTTGCCTCTCGACTCGGTCTCCAAATGCTCCAAATCTAACCAAATGCAGATTTATACCATCAAAATATTCTAAGGGAACAAAGCCCACTCGAAAATAACCAATTTACATCAAGAATCCCAAAATTGGCCAAACTTGACCCCCGGGCCCACATCTCGAATTTCCGATAAAAATCACAAAACTAGAATCCTTACACTCTCACGAGTTTAAACATATCAAATACATCAAAATCCGACCATTAATGACCCCTCAAATCCCTAGATTTAGGTCTCTAATTTCCAAGCCCTAACTTCCATATTGCTACTGATTTCCCATATAATTCAAGTTTACAACCTTAAAAATCATCATAAAAATGAGTTTATGGACCAAGGACCTTACCTCTAAGAAACCTTCTTGAATTCCCTCTTCAATTAGCTCTCCGAAGCTTTATCCCGAATGAAAAATGGTGAAAACCCACTCAAAATTGCGAAGGGTGAAATTTATATGTTCTGACCCAGCAAAACCACATCTGCGGTCCAATTATCGCACCTGCGGACCCGCACCTGCGGTCCCAGGTGCGCATCTGTGGATTCCACTTATCCGTCCAGCCACCGCACCTGCGATTGTAAACTCGCACCTGCGCCATCGCAGGCGCGCCCAAAGTTCCGCTTTTGGAGTTCCAGCCTTTCCCTCTCTTGGCCGCATCTGCGACTTCACTTCCGCTTCTTCGGGCTCGCACCTTTAGTCCCCGAGCCGCAGGTGCGGTTATGACAGAAAACTCAGCAGCATTGGCTGCAAATTCACAACTCCAAACTTCCCGTCAACCATCCGAAATCATCCCGAGGCCCTCAGGACCTCAACCAAATGCACGAACAAGTCATATACCACCATCCAAACTTATACCAATCTTCAAAATACCTCAAACAACATCGAATTAACCAAATAACATCTGATTCAAGCCTAAGGTTCCAAAAATCTTCCGAATTCCTCTTTTGATCATAAAGTCTATCAAACCTCGTCCGAATGACGTGGAATTTTGCACACACGTCACAAGTGGCACAACGGACCTACTCCAACTTCCGAAATTTCATTCTGACCCCTATATCCAAATCTCACCTATCAACCGGAAAATGCCAAAATTCCAATTTCGCCAATTCAAGCCTAAATTTACTCCGGACCTCCAAAACACATTCCTATCACGCTCCTAAGTCCCAAATCACCTAACGGAGCTAACCAAATCATAAAATTTTAATCCGAGGTCATATACTAACAAGTCAAAACTTGATCAAACCTTTCAAATTTTAATCTTCAAACTAAGAATTGTTTCTCCCAAATTCATTTGAATTATCCTGAAAACCAAAACCGACGATTTACATAAATCAAAATACATCACACGGGGCTAATCATGCCCGAGAACTGACGAGCGAACCCATTGTTATAAATTTATAATGGTGGCTGTGCTCCTGGCGTGCATACTCTAAATGTGGGACTTGCGAATTGCACCACATAAGAACTATTGAGGGCACTATAAAAAAGAATTCGTGTTTAATTGAACGATATTAGCAGCTTGACTTTGGGTTGAGTCGTAGAGATTATGGAAAAAGAATTAAGCATTCGAACTGCTGAATTGTTGAAAGAATATCTAACAAATTGTGATACTTTTTTGGAAAAAAAGTTTTGATAAACAAAACAGAAAAAAATTAAATGAAAAGAAAAAAGTATATGAAAATATAAACAACAAGAAGAAAATCCATAATTGGTATAATTGCTACATGTAAGGCATTTATAGTAAGACTCCAATTTAAGACATTAAACTATGTGTTAGCATTTCAACAGTTTTCAAAAGCATCTGGGTTGATAGCAAATAGAGAAAAAAGCTCTATCATTTTTGGAGTTAAAGAAGAGCAGCAGCAGCAGATATTAGATGAACTGGGATTTGTAAAGGGAGAGTTACCAGTGAAGTATCTAGGAGTTCCTCTGAGTACTAAGAGACTATCCTTAATACAATGCCAACCCTTAATAGAGAAAATGCTAGGAATAATACAATCTTGGACAACAAAATTTCTGTCCTATGAAGGCACACTCCAGCTAATCAGAAGTGTATTGTTCTCTATACAGATATATTGGTCACAGATATTTTACCTTCCAAAGAAGTTGATCCACAAGATTGAACAGGTCTGTAGAACTTTCCTATGGACTGGGGGGATTGAAGAGTCTAGGAAAGCACTAGTGGCCTGGGAAACATTGTGCAAGCCTAAGGCAGCTGGTGGATTGAACCTACTGAATGTTGAAGCCTGGAACAAAGCTGCCATCTGTAAACTGATGTGGAACTTAAACAAAAAGATAGGCTATGGGTGCAGGGGGTGTATGTGTATTACAAGAAGTAGATAGCAGGATGGAGTATTGAGGCTAAACAAGCTTCCTGGATAATTCAGAAGATTCTCAAAGCTAGACAATACTTTGAGGAAGCTGGATACAATGAAGCTGATATGGAAAAAATGGAAAGTTTTTCAGTGAAGAAATTTTACACAAAACTGAGAGGAAGCTTTGAACAAGTGACATGGAGGAAACTTATGCAAAGCAATCTGGGAGCCCCAAAGTGGAAATTTATTGTCTACCTAGCTGTTCAAAGGAAGCTAATGACTAAAGATAGATTGAGAGGACTGGGATACGTGGAAGAGGTCACATGTGACCTATGCAACAAAGAAGAGGAGTCTATTGATCACCTATTCTTTTCATGTTCCTACACTTCACAAGTATGGACAATGCTGTTGCAATGGCAGGGGATCTATAGAAAGGCACTACAATGGAATGAAGAACTCAACTGGACAATCAAGTACTGCAAAGGAAGGAGCATTAAAGCTGAACTATATCGACTAATACTTGCAGGTGCAGTATATCATGTCTGGCAGGAAAGAAATAACATAATTTTCAGAGGAGTGAAGCAATCCATTCAGGAACTTGTACGAGATATAGTCCAAGCAATACATGGAAGAGGAAGATGTGTACAGCGACTCCATACTAGATTAGATGAGATGAACTACTATCCTACTTAATTGTATGTAATAGGTAGAAAGAAATGTAGAGTAAAGAAAGTAGAAGATAGAGTTGAGAAGTGTAAACAGCTATGATCTTGTATTTTTTTGTTTGACATGAAATGAAATTAATAAACAAAAAAAATATAAAAATTATTCAATTCATTCAATATTACTAATATTAGCCAAATATTTCTAATATTAGCCAATTAGCTCTTTATAGCCAAAACAAGGTCAAATTTTTATTTTTTTTGAGTGGGGGGTTATTAGAATAATTTTGGTACATCTTATAGAGTTTGAATATTAATTTTGGGATGATTTGGCGGAGTTTGAGGTGGTTTGAATTGAAACTCGTGGTAAAAAATAAAACATGAAAAAAAATTATATGTGTATAACATATGTACCATATTTGTATCAAATGTGTATCACATGTATATCCATGTATACATATGTGTGATACATGCGTGATACATGTTTGGTACATGTGTTGTAGAAATATTTTTTGAACTCGATTTTAACTACGAATTTTGATACCAAAGCTGTCCAAATCGCCTTTAATCTTCCTCAAAATTTGTATATTGACTCATTTATATTGTATGCGGCGAAAATCAGAGGACTTAATTTCTCGCTATCAAGTCATATCGGAAGAATGCCTCGAGACCTCGAGGACGTGGAGCCACGACCGAGTCCCCTCCCTCGGGGCTCGCCGAGGCCCGACTCGGAGAAGACGGAGGTCGAGGCCGGAACAGAAGGGGAAGCTCCCAAGGCACGCGGCTAAGTCTGATAAAGCCGGCCTATCCAGGGCCTACGCCGAAGCGTCGCGTCTAGCCGTCCCATCTCCATACTTTGTAATTAATGCTCATGTACTATAGTCGGGTTCCCTCCCCTATATAAAGGGAACCCACATTACCTTGTAAGGGGCTGATGTTGCTCCAACTATTTTCTCCACAAGATCAATAATCTCTCTCTCTCTCTCTCTCTCTCTCTCTCTCTCTCTCTCTCTCTTTTCTTCCTAACTTGCTAGTTCTCACTGGCCCAAGGCCACTTTAATATTTATCGCTTTCTTACTTGTTCTTCATTCTATCGCTTGGTATTGGCCATAAAGAGCCTTGTTAATCATACCTTAACTGTTATCCTCTTCCCGATTGCCCCGGATAGACCGAGCTCGACCCAGACGTCGACCCCGAGGTCCCCTATCGACCTGTCCCACGCCCGGGTAGCAGACCTATCGGTTTGATCACTGCCTCGTTTTAGCTTGCATTTCATCATTAAACTTCATCTCCCTAGCATCATCTGCTCTAACAAATAGCATAAAAATAGATCACGTATTTTTAGAATCCCATTTATAAATTTAATTATTGTTACCATTTTCATGGTAAACAGTTTGGCGCCCACCGTGGGGCTAAAAATAATAGTGATTATTTTCTTGCTGGTTTTATTGCACAAATGCATGTTATCTTTCACACTTTTTCTTGTCCAAGATCTTTTGAATTCAGGTCAAAATATCTGGCTCAGTAAATAGAGTTGAGAACAACTACCTCGAAAATCACGGCAAAAATGGTCTGGCTGCTCCAGTCGTTGGCGCGATGCCGCAGAACCCCGATAATGCATCTGGCCTGATTCTAGCAGACCCGGGTTCGCAAGACGCGCAGCAGGTCGACGAAGCCTCGCACACCGATGGGAGCGTACAACATATTGACCGACAAGAAGCCCAAAAAACCCCGGCTAGGGAAGCACAGGTAGTTAGTCTCACGATATTTTTGAAATGTTGCAGGCACAGCTGTTGGCTATCGCTCAGCTGCAAAGACATCAGGAGACTCCCAGCACGGTAGCGCCGGAAATAGCTCCCATGCCGAACGAGTACCTGAGAGATCAAGTAACAACGGATCGGTAACTGACCCTGCCATAGCAAAGATGCTTGGGGATCTCTCCAAAAGGAACGAGTCAGGTTCGTCGAAGTTCATGCAATAGTTGTTCCCTGAGGATGCAGTCCCGGAACCCGTTTCACGGAAGTCCGGAACGCCGGAACTCCCTACATACAACAGGACCTCGGATCCCGACGAGCACACCACCGCTTACACGTGCACGGGAAAAGGCAACGACCTTCAAGATGATTCCTATGCAGAGAGAGCCCGACACATCCAAGGCTGAACAAAGGGAGAATGAAACGCCATGGGAAGTCGCGCCTCATTCCCTGATAGAACGAACGAGATCGCCCCGGTTTTGGATGACCGGGCACCACAGGCCTTCACCCAAAGCCTAAACGAACCAAGCCCAACGATTTCGGGGCATTTCAAACGAAGCTTGATCAGATACCCGACCGAGATCTGGACGGATGCCTGTACCCGGCACCAGCCACAAATCAAGGCCGTGGATGACTATCCGGGAGCCTCCTCGGGCTCAGTATACCCAAGCATGCTCCCGACAAAGAAACTAATGCCAAACAGATGGAGGTACCACCCATTCGCCGAGGATAGGAGGAACGCCCCAAGATGCAATCTACCTCGAGACGATCGGGAAATGGCCCGAGGGCAACACCCTCGAGGAATCCTTAACAAAACCAGATTCGACGAGGACGCATGACCGGTAGGGGCACCTTTCCCATTAGAGTACAATTTCAGCATCACTATACCAAACATCGTGTTTACCATAAGCGAACGCAGGGATGCCAAACGGCTAAGACCTATTCGACCGAGTCCCCCTCAAAAGAACCATAACCTGGTGCGGAAACCGCAGGGCGCGCAGGACTACGAGGTCGAAAATGGCCACAAGCTCAGGAGAAAAACAACCGTGCTGCTTAGTAAAAATTACCGCCGAATACTGTCGAGCGATCAGGATCAAATTCATCCCCGAGGGAGGAAGGCAACTAGGAAGAACGAAGCAAACGGGCCGAGACATATTGCTACGATAGTGGAGGAGCGGCGACACCCTCGAAGGACTCATAAAATGGAAAGTAAAAATGTTCATCACCAGGGAAAAACGGATCCAGGGATATATTCCAAAGGACACCCTTGCATCCAGTGAAAAAAACACCAAGACCTTGCCTCGGCCTCACACTGACACACTGGTAACCTTCTCCCTCGTTTGATCCATTTCAAATAAAACATATGCTCATGAATTCAGGTGGTTCGATCAACATCCCAATGATGTCAGATCGAGGTCAATAGGGCGGCTCGGACTAACGAACCAAATCGCGACCGCATCTCAGATCTTTGACGGATTCCAAACGGTGATCACTATAACAAGCAGGAAGCCATTCTCTCGATACATCCCGTCTAAGCTCGGACTGGAACGCCGAGTTCTATACCATCAAAGAAGGCACAAGGCATGAATGTCTTATTCAGATGGCCATGGGCACACCGCCCGGAGATAGCGTCGACCCCACTTCACCAAAATAGTGAAATCCCACGCAAGGGGCGGAATTAAAACCGTCGGTTGGGAGCAATACACGACAAGGGGAAATTCTTTACCATATGACGCATCATCGGCATCAATACCTCCAGCCTCAAAAGGATCAAATGGCAAGCAAACCACATCTTCGGCCCAGCCTGAATAAACACAGCGGAGGGCTGTACTAGGGCCCACACCCCAAAACGACAGGAACATACCAAAGCTCGAAACATAACCTACACATCCGCGGTAAGAAAGAACTGCTTCACTCCTTTGTTATTTTTTCACTAAACTATATGCAGATAATCGGCCGGGACATTCGGAAGTTCTAACTCCACCGGAATATTCCAAGGCCTTAACAGGACCCGCCGCGCTCTTTTCCCTCGGTCGGACTTCCGCCCCGAAGAGGGTCGCGCCAGCAAGGTTATTAGCGAAGCAATGTACCCCTAGAGGAGGATCCGACACGATCACATGCCTCCTTCTACAGTCAAACAACGAGCGATGATCTTCTTTTAAGGTCACCATCCCCTTGGAAGGACCGGGGAACGGCAGACTGAGTTTCAATAGGGAATCATGTACCGGACCAAATGGTACGAGGAGCCGCGCCCGCGCGGTCCGAGCTCACGACAATGAAACGATATGTGTTTATGCCAAGCAATAACATAAAATCTTTAAGCATCTCATACTCCAAACAAGGAAATCGCAGTGTACTCTCGGCAGGGACCCCTCCACCGAATGCATCCCGAAATACTCGGAGACTTAGCATCAACAATTTGGCGCCTGCACAACCCCAGGGTTGGATCTCCGGGATCATAGAACCCCAACAAGGCAACTCCGAGCTCACGAATAGCGGCCTTCGAGCCCAAGCAAACTCGATGACTCGGAGACTGTCATCAATCGCCATGCACTGTAAGACCCCGAGCGAGCAGACTCGGTATAACCAGATCTATTTTGTATAGCAACGCAAACTGTAAGACCTCAACAGGCATGACAAACTGTAAGACCTCAACAGGCATGACAAACTGTAAGACCTCAGCAGGTATGAAACTCAAAATCCCGAAGTTTAGACTATACATCGCATTTGTAAGAATTCCGAAAGGGCATACCCTTTGTGTAGATGCCTAAACTATCACTCGGGATAAAAAATGGCTCCGGCCAAACACATATGACTACGGTCAAAACGGCTGATCCAACCAAATTAACGCGACTCGGTGACGCCCGACCGTCGCTAAACAAAATCGCAGTCCATTACTTCGAATATACTTCGGAAAGAACCGGTTTAACAGGCTTCCCTCAACAGGAAAACGAGCTTCGACCACGTCAGCTCCAAATCACAAGGCTTCGACCTACTCAGCCTACGAGCTATGAACCTTCTGAGGTGCTCAAACATCGCCAATAACGACTTGAAATCGAGGTTCTTCAAGAACCGACGATGGGTCAGGCAAAATCATTTCGAAAAGACCTTAACGAGAGGAAAACAAAGCCTACAAAAAATCCCACGAGCAAAAGTGTAAGAGCCATTGTCGCCAGCCAAACGAGCCTCCGGGCCGCACACTAAAAGGTCTCAACGACCAAAAAACGTAAGAGCCATTGTCGCCAGCTTGAATATTGAAAACTTGAGGATTAAAATG